TTTCGGGTGTGTGTTAGTGGGTTTCTGTTTCAGATAAAAATTATTATTTTTTTTTTAAAATAAAAAAAAGAAAGAACAAATGGTTTAGATAAAATGAGAATAGAGATTAAAATCTTAACAAAAAACCCCACACCAAAAAAAAAAAAAAAAAAGGGAAGATAGATAAGTTTAAAATGGGGGGGGGGGGGGGGGGGGGGGGGGGGGGGGGGGGGGGGGGTAGTGGGGAGGTATAAGAAGTCGTTCGCAAGAGCCCCAATTTAAACTTTTTTTAATGTTCTCCCTTTTAAGAAGGATTTAAGAGTTAAAATACCTGGCTTTCTGATTCTTAACCTCCTGTTCTAAAAATCTATTTTGCTACTGATGCTCTGTCAGATGTTAGTGCACCCAAAGTGTCTGAAGTCTCCCGCTGCCAGTTTTTCTCGGCAAAATTACAAGCTAGTCAAAAGGAACAACTATTGTACCAGTAAGAAACTTGCCTTAGTACTCTATTTCTCTCAAGTTGGTTTTTGAAGCTCCCGGTGAAGCTTTGCGTTTTCGAAGTTTCGCGGCTCATTTGCCCTCTCGCCAATGAGGCTATAAGATGAACTTGTTTTCGATATCTCAAAGTTCCGGTTTTGATCAGACGAGTCTTCTTTATCCTAATCCGAAATTTAGACCTCCAGAAAGGCGTGTGTTGCATTAATTAGAATGAAATCAATCTTAAAACAGACTCTGCGAAGATGCAAAAACATGCGTTATGGATCACGCAACGCCCTCTGAGTTATTGGGTTAATAATTAAAAATGTACATTTTTTAACGCAAGAGACCGAAAAATTCCGAAACCAATTACGAACTAGGCGTGCATTGAGCCGGGCAGCCCAGTTAATAAGCATGATTGGCCATATTGAAATTAAAGCGTATGATAGCGATGATTGACTTCCTCGCAAACTTGACCTCGTCGAAATATTTTTCCGTCCCGCCCTAACTCAGTAATTAATTATAAGTACAATAAATATCACGGTTGGCGAGATACGACACTGGTTTGAGAAAGAGGCTTATAATAAATGCTCGGCTGATGAAGCTAAGTATGGCATTATTCAGATAATCTCCTTTGATTTTTTTACTTGGTTCTGACATGTAACAGCTTTCGTAGTTTTTTTGCCATTATAAATTATCTTTGCAGGGCAAAGTTCACATTGCTGAAGAGCTCTGCATGGTTATAAAATAGCTTTTAGTCTAGCTGGGGCTTGAACATACTGCAGTGTTTGTAATTATCATCCGTCGAAACTAAGAATTATTAGAATCAAAACATTTTTTTGAACAATTTATAAATTGCTTTACCTTGGAAAATAACAAGGCCAGGATAGTCTCTTTTTTCAAAATTTTGTAGTTTGAAATTTGGGAGAACACCGAGTTTGCAAAAGCCAGTTTTGTTCGTTTCTATCTTCAGGATCTTTCATTATCCAACAATTAAGTAGTGGGTATCACCGGTTGGCATGAAATTGCGATCCAATCAGATTGCTTTAGACACGAAGTTCACCCATTGAGTTTTAAGTATAAATATAAAAGTATCTCTAGAAATCCACTGTTCACTGAAATTTAGTGCCCTTTAAGGAAATGTAGAAAGTAAAGTCCCTAAACAAAAGTCTGAAAAATCTAAATGATTTCAGGCTGGGGAAAAACTGGATGTTAGCCTTAATACTGAATGGTAAATTGCTCTTGTAAATTGGTTATGTATTGCAGACCATGACGTGGATTTTTGTTTGGTAATACCGCGCTCATAATATCGTCACTAAGCGCTCCCTATACTGACTCTTCGGCAGTTTAATCAGGGAAAACGAATCATATTATGATATTGAAGCGGTAGCAGTTAGTGATATTAATAAGTAGTATATTGAATTTTGTGGCATGATACTGTATTTATATCGATACCAACTTCCACACTTGGACCACTTGTTGATCAATTTTTGGAAAGTAGGAAAACACTTACATACGCCAGTGTGTACGTGTTTCAATTTAGCGACTACTTAACTTTACGTAACAAATAAAAAGTTATTCCATGCGCAACTACTTCCGCCGTCTCTATACTTTCACAATACATGGTTTGATATTTCTCCCAGTCTCCGCTAACAAATTTAGAACTGTAACTCCGCAACAATTTCGAACTCACTAATCTGCTCTCGAAATTGTGACAAATTTTAAAACCTATCACAGCATGATATTTTTTGCAAGTGGCAGATGTAGTGTAGTTATTTTGTCTCGCCCTATTTTTGCTCTTAGGATGGGCTGGGAATCGCTCTCATCGCTCTCGTTTGCTCAAGCAAGATTAAGAACATGTACAGCCCGAGGGGAGGGGGGGAGGGAGGACTCGACATATGAAAGGGGTGGGGATGCTCGTCTTCTCGCTGAGGGGTGTAAATTTCGGATTTTGGTCTCACTTAGGGTGTTCTGGGCAAAACGCCATCATATTTTGCCGTGAGGGTCTCGTTTAGGGTTTTACGCGAAAAAATATAAAAAAATATTTACTGTCTGTGTTTTAACATGGTCTCTTTTAGGGGTCAAAAAAAGCTTGAGCCACGCCCAGGTCGGTCTCCTTTAGGGGCTTAATTCAAAATTTCCAACGAGCATCCCCGCCCCTTTCGTATGCGGAGTCCCCCCCCTCCCGGGATGTACAGGCAGTCTGGCGTAAATATGGCCAGGAGCGTGACGTTCATTTGTCTCAAATATTACTTGCTAACCTAAAAAAAAAAAAAAACTGCAAGTGTTTGATGTTGAGTTCAGCAAAGGTGGAGCACAAGAATAACCGCTCCTAGGAAAAACTTATAAAATTAGCCTGTTGTTGGACTGGAGCGGGGGAGATTTGGGTTAGGAGATTGCGTTCCCGCGAATGCTGAGGAGGCCTTGAAGATATGTCATTTCCAGTTAACCTAAACAACTGAGAAATGAATTACAAATAACCAAGAAAATGCTGGATATAAAATAACATTATCTGTGGTGCAATTTATAATATTTGTTTTGTTATTGCTTTCTCGCTCTTTTATTTTGTATTCCTTGTTGTAAAGAAGCACAAGCCATGCTACATGATTTGCTACTTTGAAATATGGCTATCAGGGCACACTCACTAAGTTAAGAAAAACTTGTCGAAAGTTAGTTATGTATACTTAATAATATTTGTCCATACACTGTTTTTTGCGAATTTTCTCTCCCTGTATTGGGTACAACCTAATGTATGTGAATTATTTAAAGATGGTTTTGACTTCATTTCATTGGGGAAACAGTCTGCACAAAATATAAGATTTATTCTTAAAGTGATATTACTTTGACCCGAGAAACAGTATCTAACAATAAGTACCAAATGGTTACAAGTAAACAAAAGAAAACAATTTAAAAAATTAGAGTGCAATGAAATTCAGTGGTCTACTATCCACTTCACGGGTAAAGTAATTATCACTCTTTTGACCATCAGCTTTTAAATTTGTGGCTTGATCATGAAGGTTATTTTGGATCGACGGTATCTGATAGTTGCCTTTAAATCCGCTAAAAGGCGTGGTTATACTTGATAGCAAAGCGTTTCTGCAATAAAATCAAATTTATGAGGATTTGACAACAAAACCCATCACTATGCTGAGTTCCCTGACTCTCCGCACTAGAAATAACGATTTTTAGCTAAACTAAGGTAATCTGAATTTCGTGATTTTTGCCATTTTTCGAAGCATTTTATTTGTTATTGGACTTACAGCGCAATATTGGGTTGCACCGGTATTGTTACAGTAATTTTTACTTACTTTTGAGGCATTGAGGAAAAACCAAAAATAGCACACCCCGCACGCAAATGACAGCGTAACGAAACTATAAATTAAAAAGCCACCTGCGCCAAAGTTCACTCTGAGTTTTCCATCTCAGTTGGGCATAGTTGTCCTCGCTGTTGAGGTATAACTCTAGGCCACCATGAAGTCCTTTGCAACGATTGGCCTTCTCTCCTTTTTCATTGGTGCTCTGATGACAACTGTTGCGTCGGAGGAAACGTTCGAAACACCTGAGAACCAGGAAAATAACGGTGAATTAGGCGCCCCTAAGGAAACCGTTGAGAATGATGAAGTTGATAAAGAAGACGACGAAAGTGAAGACGGGGATGATGAAATAGATGATCCTGAAAGGTAACTAATCCAGGCCACAGTACGGCGCCTGTTCTTCATATAAAACTAGTAGAGGTAAAGGTAAGGAGTCCTTATTTTATGTCGGTAGCTCGAAATAGTCATCTGACTAACACATCTGAGGCCGATAGTGCGCTCATTTTTAACCTCCTCTCTCCATTAGTGCTCCGTTTTACGGGTATTTAAAGCTACTTAAAACTACATGGAAAGGAAAGAAGTAGCAGGAAGATTTGTGGTCACACCTGGGAATCGAACTCGGGACCTCTCGCGCACAGAAGGCCGCGCACTAACCAACTCTCCTAAGTATAAATTTTAACAGCAACAGAGGTATTTTCTTTTCCGCTTGTTTTATCCAGATTGGTTATCCGATACATATCTCGATGCTTCTGTGATTGTAAACCTCTTTCCGTTTGTCTGTTGATAAACAAACGCTAAACGCCTTCTCTTCAGTTGCTTCCTTCTCGACAGTCATGGCTTGGTTTATGCTTAGTCCGAAAGTTGACATGACATTTAATCGAATTGAGACATTTTAATAAGTGAGCTATGTGTGGCTTCATAGCTCAGTTGGTAGAGCAACGCACTGGTAACGCGGAGGTCACGGGTTCGAATCCCGTTGAAGCCCTGATTTTTTTCAGGCTCCTTCTTTCCTATTACTTAAATTGGAAAATTTACTGCGATGATCATTCTTCACTTTCATCTACAACCGCGGTTCAAAAATGAATTATTTCATATATACTTCATATCATAACAACAATAGCTGCTGTAACCTTTGCAATTCTTAGAGACTACCTTTTATATACCTATAAATTGTTTTGTTATACAATTTATTCATGCTACATATTTTAATTGTATATACATTATTATTATTATTTCTTATTTGTAAATAATTTTTATTTCTGTGTCCCCAATTAGTTGTGAAAACTAAATACATTGACACATTAATAAAGCTTTTACTTTACTTACTTACTTACTTTTCGACTAAGGACTAGGTTTCACACTGAGCCGAACAGAATCCTCCACTGAGACCAGCACAAATCACTCATATCTCTCTGTCTCAGATACATAATGACATCAGACATGCTCAGTTTCTCTTCACCAAGCTTCGTCACTCCCTGCGCTACAAAACCAAAAGCCGAGCAGAGACAAATGACATATTTCCCCTGGTATGAATTGCCACCAACCTCGGGATCGGATAGTGAAGTCGTTATTAAGTTACTTTCTACAACTTTAGACCTTTGATCGCCCATCTTTCATTCTTTCTTGGTACCTCCTTGGAAAAAATCGAAGGAAAGTGCTATTAAAAAATTCTATTTTTCCAGAATTTACGCGCTCCAATTTTTTAATCGCTACAGTCCTGATTGTTGCTTATGACTAACAATCTATTCCTTTCCGTTCAGTCCAAACCCTGTTTCTCAAGATGACGATGAAAACGACAATGCAGAGTTAGAGAATCCAGAAAGGTAAACCATATTCAAAAACTGAAATATGTTAGCAAGTGTAAGTCACAACCATTTCAATAAATTTAAACGTCCCAGCGCTGACTTGCAAACATTCTGTTTGATAAGTGAAAAAATGTTCAAATCATTGTAAATAACTATTGTTTTCAGTGTTTCCATGACAGCAGGCAGCCCAGCAGCAGATCCGAAGGCTTTACCTTGGGTCCGCGGGAAACACCGACGATATTATCCACGTCGACGAATCTCCTATCGACGCCGATATTATCCACGCCGACGCATCTCCTATCGACGCCGATATTATCCACGCCGACGAATCTCCTATCGACGCCGATATTATCCACGCCGACGAATCTCCTACCGACGTCGCTATATTGGAAAAAAATGGTAGCGAATCTAGCTGCTCTTTAAAGCACTTTGTCCACCTATCCAACAGTAAAACGTGATTTAAACGTAACTCGAACGAAGTAAATCATACGTAACGTTTTGTAGCTTGTAACAAATGTTACTTGAGGTGAGAATTAATAAAACTTGTTTCGTACACCTGGCAGCAGATATTTTTGAACAATGTAATGGGAACAAGTCTTGGAAATGGATGGTTGCAAATACCCTGTAACTATCATAACTAATGTCCGATAATAATGTCCGATCATAACTATGCCATGAAAATTCAAAAGTTCGGTACAGCTGGGTAATCGCGGATACGATTAGGAGTTACCCTCCGTGTATTGAGTGTATAACAGTCAGCAGAGGACTACTACACCACTTTTCCTTCTTGAATCGTTTCCTACCTTGGGGCATCAAAAAGTGTTTGTTTGGAAAAATCTAAATCAAGATGAAATTTGGCATCTCTCTAGTGAGTAAAGTCTTCATTAGACTGTCGAATATTTTCCGTAAAACGGCTGTTCTGAAAAAAATATCAATTGTAAACTAAAACTACTAAGCAAAGGATTGTCCTAAAAAATTTTGGGGGCCTACCTGTGCTTAAATTTCTCCAGAGGCTTACTTTAGATTTTCCATATATTTGTCTGTAATTTTCCCCGGGACTTTCTTACAGACAAATGCATAGAAAATTTAAAAAAGTGGTTCTAGGTCTTCTAGCGCATGTAACGCCACAATTTTCTTCAGTAGAATCCTTAGGAGTGAAGCTTTAGTTTACAATTGATATTTTTTTCAGAACAGCCGTTCTACGGAAATTATTCGACACGGAACTACGGAAATTTCTACGGAAACTTTCTACGGAAATTATTCTCACACAAACACTGTAATTTCTCACGCTTTTGCCTACTCGTCAAGATGGTGTCGAAAGCCGTGACAAGGTCTATTGCCATATTCAGTTTTTATGAGTGATTTAATAAACGAAATTTTGCTTTAATTGGCGTATAGATAAGCAGGGAAAGGTAAGAAAGTGAGGTAAAGAAAAAAGAAAATGAGTTTTAAACTGAGGCGTTCTCTTGTCTAATTCCATCAGTGTTCTCATGGCGTCCGCTTGCCGGGTTTCCATTGGTTAGGGATTTGCAAGACAGTTATTTCGGCTGTAGAAATAAGATTTTTGGTTTTAATTTGCGTGGAGATATGGAGAATGATACTTCCTTCACACTTTGTTCACGCACACTTTTTAACGAGTTCAAAACTTTCCAACATTCTGAAGCTGTACCTGAAATCGCAGCGACTTGCCTATTATTAACATTAACACATTTTGCGTTGTGTCGTGCTTTCTAGCCAGTTTGCTCCATTTTCTTTTTCTTTTTTGGCTTCGTAGGGAAACTTAAATAAGCTACGCTCATAAACCTTGACAGTCTCGATCCGCCAAATTGGACAAAAAATTTGAGAGAACGATTTGGCAGCTCAACTAGCTGCGGAAATGAAACACTGAAATATAAGGATGTAATATACTGAAAAATAACGCGGCCCTAGTTCACTTCAGTGAATCGCAGTAATTCAGTCGGTCATTACTGCACTTTTCACCAACATGCGAACTCTAAAGTTCAAAAGCCGCCTTCACAATTGCGTTTTTCGCTGCCGTCGATCATAATTACCATCACAAGCAACAAACCTTGAAACACACAAACACACAAAATGGATCGAAATCCACCAATCACAAATCACAAACCATGACCTTTCCGTTAAGATGATTGACGGCAGCGAAAAACGCAGCTGTGAAGGCGGCTTTTGAACTTCAGAATTCGCATGTTTGTGAAAAGCGCAGTAATAACCAGTGACGTTATCCCAATTCCAGTACTAGCGGGAAAAACGAGGGTTCTAGGATCAGGGATGATTATAAACAAAAATTAGATTTCTATGTCAAGTTAATCGGTAGGTGGTGTAGACAGTCGCGTGGCTCGAATCAGATAAATTACGTAAATTGGAGGACCGGTAGGAGATGTAATTGTGTCTTCAATTAGCACTTTTGTACTAAATACATTGACACTCAAATGTATTAGGTGCGTTCTTCTTTTTAATATAAACTGAGAATTCTTTTCTATTTGGCAAAATAGCTTGCGATACTGTGAGATGGACTTCTAAACACCAAAGAGCTGCTTTGCATTGCTTTCCTAACTGTACAATCTTCAACTTTAAAAGTGTTTAATTAAAGCATGGTGTTGTTCTTGTTAAGAGACAGTCAGTTAGAATGAATCAGCGTTTAACATTCCATCCCACTTTTCTAGATTACCCGCAACGGCTATCCAATGACTCCTTTTTTTCGTTTGTCGTTTGGTGTATAGATGCTAAACCGGGGTGGGGGGAAGAGTCACTAAGTAGCGAGGAATTTATTTATTTATTTGTTTTTGTCACATTACATATTAGAATATTTCAGACATGTCTCCAACGGAGAGTCCAAAGTGATGCTGCGTTCAGTAAACCGACTTTATGCATGCCCAGAATTAGCCCTGGGGCATCTTTAAGTCAGTAAAACGATTTCTCCATCATGCTTCGTTCTGTAGACAAAGTTCTTTGGTTTTGTACTCGTTGTCCATATGTTACTCTCAAAACTACTCCTTTGTTAGCGCACATATAGAAACTTCGCAAATATATAATTTCAAAACGAGCTTTAGTGGAGAAATTTGCTCGTCTGATATAAATTTGCATATTAAGCGGGGCTACTGGATGGAGGGTTGGATAAAGTCATCGCAAAGGAAAGGATTCGGATCCAGGGCAAACCTGGAACTTCTCATTATTTCTTTTATCACGTTTTGCTGTGCGTTTTGTTCAAACCCAGTAGTTTGTTTAGTGCCTTTAGCAGCTATTACTTCCAATTCTCGGTATATTTGAAGCAAAATGATTGGAACATCAACCCAGTGGCTTTTACTAAATTAGCCCTTTAGTTTGTATTTACGCCCATAAGCATTTGGTGTGGTGTTCAAACAAACGTACGAAACGAATTACAGCGAAGTAGAAAATTATTTTAATAAACATTCAGACATATGACTGTTGCAAGACTTATACTAACATAGTGTGCTCGTAGCATATATCTAGGAAGAGAGTCGCTCGGAAATTCACGTCCTGCTTATTACAGGAGTATCAAAGCTGAACTTGCCGAGACGCCGAATCACGGTATAAACATGAACTAAAGTTACCCATGAACTGTTCATATGTCACGTCTCCTGATGTCCAAAACTTCCATTGAAAAAGTTCATGAAAACATTTTCTTGATGTTTTTGGACGCGGGAAAACTTAAAACCGAGCAAAAACTCATCGTCCTTTCATGCCTGCATCCTCCGTCATATTTGTTTTGAAAGAAACTTGGTACTCAGTCTCACTCGACCAATTTTGTTAACTGGCGCGATCATGTAAACTCGATTCCAGACAACCCCCAAAGCCCCCC